ATAGTAACCTTTATTAAAACTACTACAACGTTTAATAAGATTGTGAATTTGAAATACGACGATATAACATAGTGACCTTTATTATTTATATTGATAAGTATATAAAATATTTCATTAAAAAAAAACTAACCACTTAGGCCTATATATTACTTTCTCTAATGTTAGTGATCCACAATAAATTGTGTGAACCAGGTCCATTTAAGAATCTGTACACTTTCAATTGCATGTGAGTTTGCTGATGGACTCATTAAAACTTGATGATGTTTGCCCTGTTCGAATTTAAGGGAGAGGTGTTTCTTGGAATGGGCTCGGAGTGAGGTTGATGGGCCGCAGAGGCATCAGGATCGGGATCACTTCGGATGGGCTTGATGGGCCTCTTTGTAGCCATGGAATCAAATTGGGCTCTAACCTCATGAGTGAATTGGAGCAGCTGTTGCGGATCTACTACTTCATCGCTACGGCTTGGTTTGTTCATCGTTGGTAGTATATGTGCTACTGTCTTCGATAATTTGTGTGTGTTTTTTTAAATAAATTTTGTTTGTGTTCTATACACTTGTTTAGTTTTTGTGCGATACACGGTTTTAAACAAATACATTATGAGATTTGCTTATAACACAGAGAAAGAAAGTTTTTTACTCCGTTAATTTGTTTTATATATACACAGAGAAAGAAAGTTTTTTACTCCGGTAGCATATTACTTGTAAAATATACAAAAGGCAAAAAAAAAATCACAATGAACACTTTTAAACATTGAAACATTAACTTACATGTAAAAAAAAGGACTCAATAAGGACAAAGGATAAAGCATATGAAAGGTTTATTAAGAAAAAAAAAAAAAAAAAAAAAAAGAAGTATGAGTAAAAAAATAATAAAATAAACACTAATGACATCATCATAGCAAATTGACGGAGAAAAAATAAATTTACATCAGAATGTCATGTGTATAATTTGTGGAAGGAATGATGTCAACAACGTTTTGTTTTACTATTAGTTAATATATTATGTGCTTTGTTTTTGAAGTGGCATTTTATTGAAACAAAGGTCAATTTATTTAAGCTCGAGGGAAAAGGCCAAAAAAATGACATACTTGAAAAATGGAGTAACAAAAGAAATACTAGGGTTTCTTGTGAAAATCTGAAAAACCACCTTCCCCAGCTGGACAGACTAATGTTTGAAATTTAACGTTTTTAAAGATTTTTTAAGGTTTTTAATCTTTTTTTTTTACAACACGCAAAAGCTTAGCAATTTATTACTCCATCAAAGACTCCCAGTTAGTACAAATAGCATCATGTATCTCAGTAGGATACTCTTCAAGCCAAATGCGACATTCTTCATACTTACTACGTACTTAGCTTTGCTAAACTATGCGCTACACTATTTTCGGATCTCTTAACAAAAGAAAAGTAAACAAAATTATCAAAAACCTTTACTATGGTGAAGGTTTTTAATCATTTTTTCCTCATTTCTCAAAAATAAATAAATAAATAAATTCCTCACCATTTTTAGTTAAACTAATCAATTAGAATATGCTGATATGAAATTGATCAATATGACACAAGGTTTTTGGCAAATTAAATAACTGTTTATTTTATTGTATGATAATTAGTGATGGGGAATATTTTAGGATAGTTATTCCTTTCTTGTTATATCGAGTCCAAATTCAGGTGAAAAATACATAATTAAATATAATTTGGTCTATGTTATTTATCGAAAAAGGCTAAAAATATGAGATTTCTGAAAATACATGTGTGATACATTTTTCGTAAATATTATTAGGAGAATAATATATTTAGGATTTTTTTTAAAAAGAATATTTAGAATTTTCAAGTACATAATCATACATCTATAGAACTGCTACTCAAACAAAGACACTTGAGTAGCAGAGTGAGTAGAGCAATATGAAAGAACATACTCCATAAAACATATTCCTACTTGATGGTTGAGATCCACTTATGAGTAGATTATTTGAGTACGTATAGATAGTCGAATTAACAAAAAAAAAAAAAAAAGTGGATCTCATATTTTTTGAACGGAGTACATACTAGATCTAATATGATAGATAAAGCAATAACAATCTTTTAAACCAAAAAAAAAAAAAAAAAAAAAAAAAAAAAAAAAAAAAAGTCATTATCATGAAATAAAGTAGATAGCATTAGAATTTTTTGGCTAACTTAGCTCTAACAAATTTGTATTTGACATTGAGATTGTTAAAGTAAGTTATATCACCTACAGAAGACCATCCAAAATAGACTTCATAATAACATCTGAGGTTCCAGATTACGGTGGCACTAACATTTGGCTCTCCATTCCATTTCATGTCGCACCTAATGAAATCGGAAGAATAAATGTTATCATCCAAGTGAAATGAAAATTTTTATATGTGGTAGAGGGTAACACTTCATTCCAGCCAAGATCACGTACTTTTGTTTCGTTGAATCTATGGGCGCAATGCACTAACAATATATCACTCTGCTTCACCTTATTATTATTATTATTATTATTATTATTATTATTATTAATTTTCACACCATTTACTATATTCCCTTGAACTCGACTCCATATTAATTCTTCACATACAAGAAAGATAAACAAGAAGCCAATTGCAGCAGGAATACCGTACATAACACTATAGCATAAGTATTTAGCAACAGGTATTGAACCAGTATTGATGTTGTTGTAGTCACCATTTTGCTCAGTCCAAGCGTAAACATAAGGTCTGTCGTTAGTGCCGTCTTCCGCATCCGCAACACGACGTATAGGTGCTACCATAATGATAGAGAATGGTAATTATCAACACTTTTGTTAACCTAATTAAGAACGAATGGCAGATTGAAGCTATATATGCTCCAAATTAAACCCTATATAACTTAGTTTTCAATCCTAATAACAGAATGGAAACTATGAACAATTTTGTTAACCTAAGGGTCCTAGAATATAGAAGGGATACGAATGCAATTTATCTCCTGATTAAAATTTAAAACCCTAAAATTTAGAGATAAATGTAACTACTTTTTTGGTAGAAGGATAAAAATTAGGAGTAGAAGCGGAGCTAATAGAGTACTTACCGTATTTCTCTTTTAATTTTTTTTTTTTAATTTCTTTTAGTATAGTACAAGGTTTGAACTTATACTTTTTCTTAATAATACAACTTATTCGAGTAATAGACACGTTTTGGTTTCAACACTACTCAGTATTCATGTATAACAAGAGAGTATGTACAAAACTATTGTACAAAACTATAATCCGAAACTGATTTGAATTTTTGGATATCCGATCCAAATCTTTAATTTGGATTGAATATCCTATTAATCGTATACAAATTCGGATTTTGATTTTCCAAATTTCAGATAGATTTTCGATAATCTGAACCGATATCCAAAATATTAAAGCTGAAATAGAAAAATTTATGATGTATAAAATTTTAAAATTTCCATAAGAAACTAATCATGTGTTAATAACTTATTATAAATTTATAATATTCTTAATATATTTTATTAAATTTTAATAAAAATGTTGTACATTTTAATTTAGCAATGATAAAATAGTGAAATTAAGAAATTAGTCATAATCAATTTTAATTAATATTGGACATTTGATAACCCAAGTATCTGATCTATTTTGTTAGATTTTGTTTAATGAATTATTTTCAAATTGTTGTAAAATAAGGAGAAGGATATTTTGGATTTTAACACCTTACAAAAGGCTGAAAATGTTTTTTAACACCCCCCAAAAAAAAACTTTTATTTTAACACCTCCCAAAAATATAAAAGTTGGAAGTTAACACCAAAATCCATCTTCCGTTAACAGAACTGTTAGTGGGGCCCACCCCAACGGATATATTTTTAAAAGATCTGTATATAAGAACCATTCTTCCACGATTCTTGCACGATATATAAGAACCATTCTTGCACGATTCTCCCCCAATGAACGAAATCGTTGTTCTTATTGAATAGCAGCAGCGCATTGCATTGTTGCACGATACTTGAAACAATTCTTTCACGATTCTTCCACGATTTTTGAGAAGAGGAACAGATTGAAGCTGCTGAAACAGGTGAGTGCGGTCAATTGTTCGGTTGTTTGGTAATTATGGTTTAAATTCTCTTCAATTATTATTTGCAATTGTTTCGTACTCAGATTAATGGTTGGATTATGTTATGTACGCATCTAAATGCCCAATTGCGAAATTAGGGTTCGTCAGAAATTGAATTTGGGGCTTTTCGTATTATGAAATTAAAAATGAATTTTGTTGCTGTCAATGTTAATTCGTCAGTGTACAAATCTGTAAATGTGACTGTCGATCTAAAATTGATGCAGATTATGTCGTTTGTTAGCTCTTCCCCTCCTGAGGCCAGAAAATGTAAGTGTGGTGTGCCAATGGCCAAGCTCACTAGCTGGACAAGGGAGAATCCAGGCAGGAAGTTCATATCATGTAAGTTTTATGACCCAATAACAGAAACAAGGGGTTGCAAAGCTTTCGAATGGGTTGATCAACCTGATGGAACAGATTGGCAAACAGGGGTTATCAACAACCTGTTGTTGGATAAGAAGCTGCTAAAGGGTGAAGTTAATGAATTGAAAAGGGAAGTTGATGAAATCAGTGGCCAAAGGAGGTGCCTACTTAATGAAGTTGATAATTTGAAGATGAGATGCAAGGCCTTGAACGCTGACAGGAAGAGAATGAACAGGGAGTGCAATGAAGGGAAGGTGTCTTCAATCAGCTGTTTTGGTTGGGTGGGCATGGCCATTTGTATAGGTTTGTCAATGGGTGTAATTTTCCTAATGGCTAGGGGTGTGTAATAGTAAGCTGTATTAAGTAGTTATAATTTCTTGTAATGACTTGAAGTGTTATAAATATGTCTTTTAATCAACCTATTTATGCCTTGTCTAAGTTCCTATTTATGCCTTGTCTTTTAATCAACCTATTTAAACATGTGAAACATTAAAACATGGGAAATATGTGAAACACTAAGATAGTTCAAGTACAGGTTGACAAAAGAACCTTACTTCAACATGTTTCAATGGCAATCAAAGCCATGCAACCATTACAATTCAATATCTAATTGTTCAAATTTGTTAAGGGAAGCCACTAAAAAACTAGCAAGTTACATAACCAGTCATGAGTACATAATAAAAGTTTGAAATTGTTCAACAGACATAATGTTTGATATCCAGCATGAGTACATCACTGAGTAAGGTTGTTGAGGGATTGCAGCCTGGCCCTTGTTACAACACCTGTGGCTGTTGTAGGCTGACTTGAGGAAGACCTTGTCTTTCTTTTTGGTTGGCTTGAGGCAGGCTGACTTGAGGAAGGCTGAGCTGAGGATGGCTGACTAGAGGATGGCTGAGCTGAGGAATGCTTAGCTGAGGAAGACTGTGGCTGTGGGCGCTTGCTGAATGGCAGACAACCTTCTTGCTCTTGAGGAAACTTTTTGTTTCCTATGCTGTTTGGTCCAGCCCCAATTGCACTCTATGACATGCATATAAAAATAAAAAGTCAATGGAAAAGACACATACATATATAAAACAAAGGGGGAGTTGGTGTAATGCTTGTGTTACCTTTTTAGCAGCCCTAATCTCTTTCTTCTTCCTCTCCTCCACCATCCAAGGAGTGTTCAGTGGGGGTCTGCCTGCTGACTTTATCAGCTCTGTAGCTGGTGCAGCAGGTACTTTGCAAGTCTTGGCATAATGCCTATATCCCCCACAGTTGCTGCATTGCTTCTTCCTCTTGGTACTTGCCTGACCACCTGAAGAAGAACATTCTCCTGGCTCAAGCTTCCTTTTTTTGCTCTTTGGTCTCCCAGGTTGCACCTTAACAGAAGGGGGTAGTGGTTCCCTCATTCTGACTCTCTCCCAGTGCTTTGGGCCAGGCATTGGTTGGACAGCTGGTTCATAAGCAGACCTGTATGTGTCCATGGTATAGTATGGGTCAACAACAGCCTCTATGTCACCCCTCATATCCAATATGCAGGCATAAGCATGAACACATGGAATGCCAGTGAGTTCCCAATGGTAACATGTGCAGGTCTCCTTGTCCAAATCAACCAACACCTGGTCATCCTTCAGCTGCACCTCAAATGTATTCCCTCTGGATGGCTGCACCACACAGGACCTAGCCACAAAGTCTATCCTCCCCAGAACATGCCTCACATATGGCACTAAGTTGTGTGTAATTGTTTTTGAATCCTCCCACTTTTCATTATTCCTGTTCATAATATACCTCCTCATCCATTCCATTTGGGTGAGGATAGGTTTATCTCTGGCAGGCCTAATGACTGCATTGAAAGTCTCACACATGTTGTTCAACAACATGTTGGACTTGCAGTTTGGTGTGAATGCATGTCTAGACCAATGGTGGGGAGGAATGTTGATTAAATACTCATATGCCTCTTCATCGAGGAATTTGATAGACTCCATGGCAATTTCATGCTCAAACTGACATATAAAAGCATACCAGAAATCACACCAAGCATATACAAGCTAACCAATATAAAAACACACCAACAGTCATATAAAAGCATAGGCTAGCTTCAACAATCAATAAACTTACAATGGTGGTGGCCCTAGCTGCTCTCCAAAACAGCTCCTTAAAGGTTGATCCAGTGAAGTTGAGCTTGAAGTTAGCCCAAATATGCCTCACACAAAACCTTTGCTCAGCTTTGGGAATAACATCAGCCATTGCTTTAATCAAACCCTACCAAATGCAGACAAAAGTATAATCATCAGTCAATCACATACATACACATGAAAACTTAGAAATTGAACCTAAATAGTTAAGAGGGAAACAGAAGCATTACCTTTTGCCTGTCAGACATGATGGTCAGCCCAGCTCCTTGATCATGTGTGAACATTGACATAAGGGATTCCAAGAACCAACCCCAAGTTTCCTGGTTTTCAATCTCCACTGTGGCCCAAGCTAGAGGAAACAAGTTGTTATTCCCATCCTTAGCAACTGCCACCAGAATTTGCCCAGGAAAGGCACCCTTGAGGTGACAACCATCCAACCCTATTAAAGGCCTACAACCCTTTGCAAATCCATCTCTCAATGGCCTTAAACAGATGAACATCCTCATGAACAATGGTGGCTCTGGCCTGTCAATACCATCAACAACAACATTGCACCCTGAACCAGGGTTGTACTTCATCACAGCTTTCCCATAATCCCACACCCTAGCATACTGCTCCCTAGCTGAACCAAATATCAGTAGTTTTGCCCTACACCTAGCTAGCCATGCCTTATAGTAACTCACATCAACTCCTAAATCATTCAAAATCCTAGCCCTAATCTCCTTAATTCTCCAACCAGGGTTACTCCTAAACTCTTCTAAATACCTCTCTGCTATGTATTCAGCAGTAAGCATCTTGTTCTTCTTTACTCTGAAGCAGGAATGGTCTAAATTCAAGGTTTTGATTTGCCAAGTTTGCTGCTTAACAAGTTTTGATGCAAACACCTTGAACTGACACTTTACCCCCCCCCACACATGTACAAGCAGGCATTCTACAAGTGTAGCTATTGAACTCACAGCCACATCTATATCTACACTGAACTGTAATCCTTTTACTGTCATTATGCAAGTAGTAGAACTCATACCTGTTTTGAATGGCATGAAGTCTTAAGGCCCTCCTCAAGACTGAAGCATTACTGAATTTCTGATTTAACTTCAACTTGATTGGGTTGTCAAAGTCCACATCAGCATTAAACCAAGGAGCATAGTCCTGTTCCTCATCAGATCCACACAAACTCCTTGAATCATCTGAATCAGCATCACTTTCTGGATTCACCTTCGGTTTTCCAACATCCAAATCATTTCTCAACTCTACTCTCTTATCTTTGCCAACCCTGTCATCTACTGCACTCTCCAAACCTTTCCTAAGGCTCTTGTTCACTTTGGCCAAGATCTCCTTTGACCCTTCAATATACCATTCCTCATCCCCTTCATCAAATTCTTCTTCACCAGGTTCCCAATCTTGTCCCTCATCACTCAAATCTGAACTTGAATAACCAGATCCTTCACATCCATCATCCTTTTCTTCATCAAACCTCAACACTTTAGCATTAGCTGAGGCTTTCCTAGGTGGACTCTCCTCCCTTTGTTCAGTTTCTGTCTTCTTAAACCTAGGGCTCCTCCTAATAGTCGATGTATTTGAACTTTCTACCTTCTTATCCTTTTTTTTTGTCTTTGCAGGATTGGGTTGGGCCTCTTGTATGGGCTGACTAGGAGCTTCTGTTGTTACAAAAACCTCAACATACCCCTCTTCATTTACTGTCTCCAAAAGGCCCTTAACCTCTTCACTGTTAACTAGTTCCCTTTTCCCAGTGTTAAAGGTTTTCCCCTTCTGCCTATACCAACAGCTGTAATGCATAGGCACATCCATATCACCATTAACAAAACCATGAATTGCAGCTGTTCTAATCAAATGCACATCCAACTTAGATACTTGAACCTTCCTCTTCCAGTAACACCAACCACCACACCAACACAGCAGCTGCCTGTTTTTGGTTACTCTTTTAGGGACAAAAGCACCTCCCACTCTAAGGCAGATGTCAACCAAACTATCCTTGTCACCCATTATCTACCCACCAGTGAAAAACATATAAAACATATTAAAAGCCATGTAACTATACATGCACAATACGAATAAACAAATCCATCACAGCCACACAAACAAACACATAAAAAAATTGAAAATAAACATATACAAGCCAATGTAGGTGCTCAGTAACATAAATTAATCAACAAACCACACTTGCTAGTTTAATTAACAATAAACCACCTTAATTAATCTCTACTTTCAATTACGAAATCCAATTAACCTAAGTCGCATAGTCAGTTACAGAAATTGATTTATCAAGGCTTTCCTAATGTGGTCCCAAAATTTACCCTAATTACCCAATTATTGCAAGGTTTACAGCAATGAAGCACCAGTAATTGACGAAATTGCTATCAAAGGAGAGCAATTTTACCTTATTTTCTGTGAATTTCAAGCGGCTTTCGCACTTTTGTAGTTGAAGAAGATGATGAAGAAACCCTCCTGAGCTTATCTTCTCCAACGTTGACACCACCCTACACTCCACTTCTCAGCCAAGATCTCCTTTGGTTCAAAAGCGAAATCAATGAAGGTTCAGAAAGAATTCAATGCAGAAGGTTGCTGCGAATTCAATGAAGAAAGAAGTTTCGTGTTTTGCTGGGTGAAAATTGAAGTTCAAGCCAATTTGTGGGACCCACGTTAAATTTCCGTGACGGAAATCGTTAACTGGTGTTAACTTCCAACTTTTATATTTTTGGGAGGTGTTAAAATAAAAGTTTTTTTTTGGGGGGTGTTAAAAAACATTTTCAGCCTTTTGTAAGGTGTTAAAATCCAAAATATCCTAAGGAGAAATATAAAGATTGAGAGGGAAATGAAATATGTATTCTACTTGTATTTCATATATATATATATATATATATATATATATATATATATATATATATATATATATATATATATATATATATATATATATATATATATATATATATATATATATATATAGAGAGAGAGAGAGAGAGAGAGAGAGAGAGAGAGAGAGAGAGAGAGAGTAGAATAATTGATAGAGTTTGCTTGGAGAATAATAAACCCTAAACTCTAGAAAGTTAGTGATACAAGATGGACATCCATATTCCGGAATGATATAAGGAGCATAATGGTCATCCACACGATATTTCATAACACTCCCCCTTGGATGTCCATTATCGAAGAATGTGCCTCGTTAAAACCTTATTAGGAAAACCCCGTGGGATAAAAACCTAATGAAAGGAAAAGAGTACAACATTCTTCGTAATACGCTCGAGATTCTGCCTCATTAAAAACCTTACCATGAAAACCCAATGTGGGACAAAACCATGGTCAAGGGAAAAAGAGTGCAGCGCGTATTTTCTCCCCTTGATGAATACATAACTTGAGATCTTCCAGTGCCGCAACAATGAATTCAATATGTTTGGATATCTTCTCATATGTAGTAAGTAAAATATCATACGTTGATCTTCGAATCTCCTAAGCTGAAGTTGCATCTTCAATTCTTCAACTCTTCACGTGAACATGTGAAGTGTCTTTCATTTCACCATACATGTGTTTATCTCTAATATCATTATTTCAAATCTCTGTTTAATAGTTGATTTATAAATTAAACTTATGTGATTATGAATTCTTTTGGAAGTTGTTAATAATAGAAATTGATGATCAGTATTTGATCAAACATTTATTAATAATCATTTTATCACAAAACTTGACATTATTAATGCCATTCTTCAATCTCATATGAATTATAACATATGTAATTATATACATTGATCATGGTTCTTCTGGACCATAAGAAAACAGTCTCACGCATAAGTATCCCATTTCTTTAGAAGTTTCGTAATTAACTACACGATAATTTTTCTGCGAATACAAATTGTAAATCTCACTAACTCTTATATGCTCAAACTTCAGGTTGAGATGTCACTGATGTATTTACATAGACTTTTCAAGAGTTTGATATTAATTGCATTATTCTAGAGATAAACTTTGTAGGGCTAGATATATAAATACGTCGTATATAAGTTCTTCAGGAACTCTTCTTACATGATTCATAACGTGCAATTAAATAGGTGTCATCAATAATTTCATTCCAATTGTAAGCCAATTGGAATATAAATATTTTTTTGTAATTTGCTTAAAAATTACAAATACGCCATACTATATATATTTTGAACAAATATTCACATATACCACAATTATTGTATAGAACTAATGCATCAATATGAGACATAGAAAATAAAATATACAATGAGTAATGCATCTAAAAATTGCAATATACGCAAAGAATAATCTATTAACCTATGACTCACACATGTATATGAACATACATAAGACTCTAAATAATGCAAGACACTGTACAGTGTGGATTAAAAAATCCATATTTCGTTAGACTTCTGGTCCAAAAAAAATTATGATTATTATCATTATGTCGACATTAAAATGGACATATATTCCAGATCCCTTATTCACTAGTCCATTATATCATGCATATGCATCGCATTATTTATCGGTTCCATTAGATACCGGTATCATCATATAAAGTTACATTTTTCATTAGTACCATCATAATTGTTTTCTTACATCATAGGCCATCTATTATAATAATTCAGATATCTATACCACTTTTAGGGTATTTCATACACTATGGTATTTATATACTATTACACTATTAGTGTCAAATGCACTATCTTGCCAAACATCATATCTATTAAACATATCTTTATTTTGGAACCGATCATATACAACCTACACTTCAGGTGTAGTGATTCAAGTACAATTGGCAAGATTTTATCTCAATGTATACACATAATTAATATGACCAAAATGTATCTTCAACGCTATACAACATGAGTCATAACTGAATACAAATCAAATCATAAATGTGCAACTAACATATCTTGATAATGTATATACAAAAGTTGGCATATATATAACTTTTCAAACTACCATTATAGGGATCATATTTATTATTTATTTATTTTAATTAATTTTTTCAACTTTTGTTAATTCGTTCTTCTCCCCCCTAAGTTGGTAAAATATCTCATTTATAGGGGCATCTTATTATATACCAACTTAGTAGACAAATTTGCATTAATAAAATTCACTTCATTAGGAGGATCACAATCAAAATTTATCTCTTTTGGAGAACAATTTCAATGAAAAATTATTTATTCATTAACTTTTTTTTTTGAGGGAAGACGTTAGCAGGAATTTTATTCCAAATCGAGGTTCGCAAGAGCCAAAATGCTTTGCGGAAAATCACTCAAACATACAAGTTCATCATTACCACGGGTATCCCATCGAGCCATAATTTCAATGAAGAATTATTTATTCATTAACTTTATATTTCATGTGTATTTATTATTAAATTTTCAATAATATTTTCTCTTTTGGAGATCAATGTCAATGGGGAGACATATGTTGCGCAGTTGTACGTTTTTCTTTCTTCTCCTATTTCATATGTGCTGACATATAATAGCTCCAATCAAAAGAATTGTTATACAAGCATAAATCACTTGTGTAGGAGTTTATAGGTACTACGCAGCGGAAATAATATGAATCATATTCAAACAAGTACCAATCCCAAGATCACATGCATAACACACAAGACACATAATCATACCTTTGACTCGTGAATTCCACGAAGCTATTCGACAGGCAAATCAGGGAGAAAATAGAGCCCCAAGCGTTGCTCCTCTACTTAGTCCACGAGATTCGAACGAGCCGTCCACCAATACTAAATTGGTCGAGTGATTGAGGAAAACCGCGATCACCACCTTTATGGACAACCGACCACCGCACGAACCACCACCACCACGAGACACCACCGACGCCAATAAGGAGGAAGAGAGCCGTGTGAGAGAGAGGACTTTGAGAGGGGTTGGGTTTCGTGTTTGCTAATTAGGGTTTGATCACACTGATCAGTTAATTACTTACTTACTGCAAACCTAGGCACCTAGTCTATTTATAATCTCATTATAATTAGACTAGGGCACGAAGCCTAAAACTCCCTTGTCCACTCCATATGGTCGGCCACCTAGAGTGGTGAGGCCCATGATGGGCCTCGTCCTCTAATGCTAGATCTAGCCCCTTTGTGTGACCTTATAGGATCCGTCCAATTGGGCTTTGGGCTATTTTAGTAGTCCAAAGATCGTTAGTACCTCTAGCTATGGCAAAACGACGACCCAAATGTACGAACTTAATTATCTTCATAATTTGATCCATTTATATATCTAGTAATTGCACATGAAGAAGACATAACTCCTTCAACTTGCTAGTTGACAATAATATATAAGTTATTTTGGTGAACTTCTGGTAATCCATTACTCCTTTATATAAAAAAATCAAAACATATTAAATCTTGAAATTTTCATCAATACAAATTATTATAACTCACAATCCAAATATAACCCAATCTCAATGTTACGTCTTGCCATTCAATTCATTTTATATATTTAACATTGAGAAAGTGTCAGTACATTATCAAATGAAAATTCAGGTTTCCATTACGGGTAATTATTATTAAACCCGGATGGCCTAATTTAATTATCATATCCAATCACTTCTCTAAATTTGAACAAGTATTTGTATTTAGCAACAGGTATTATATTGAACAAGTATTGATGTTGTTGTAGTCACCATTT